ACGGGTTAAAGTCAGCTGTGAAAGAGATTGCATTTGTATGGAAAATTAAATTTGTACTCTCTGTTTCTGTCTGATTCCCCTTTCTCTCACATATTGCTTCTACTATTTACCGACTCATCTATGAAGTAATTGATTTGCTGTTGATCCTATGTTAATCAAAATGGAAATGAGCATGTAAATTCCACAGCACGGTGAATCATGACTCCTTTGCAGCTTGCACCTCTGGCACAACCACATCCACACACATGCATACAGATACTGCCTTTTATTGCATAGTCCTAGATGAGTCATAATATGGCATTGCATTTAATTATCATACATTTTCAGAACCCAGAATTATCATCTACAACCAACATATTTGGTGATTATGCTGGAAACATAACATCTATATTTATCTGCCTCCTTTTCCTCCCACTACTTCTCTTTTGTGCTTTCTGTTTTCATCCTCTTTTCTCTGCCATTGCCCAACACTGTACTTCTCCCGTCTTTCATCTTCCGGCTGGGAAGCGGGAAAAACATTTACAAGAAGCTGATTCTAGGGGAACTGCAGAGTCAGGGAGTGAAGGATGGCTAGATGAACAGACAAATGTATGAGTTCTCATTTTCTGACTGAATGCTGAAGAAAGAAGCAGTGACAGCATAATCATGAGGAACCACTGCAGGCTTCAAAACAAAGATGACAGACAACTCTGAAAGATGATGCACCTGACCAGAGGGAGTGTGTGTGTATGTGTAGTTGTAGTTGTGTTTCCCTCTTTCTGTGTTTCTGCTGATACTTGAGTTTTAAGCATGTGTCTTCCTTATTTTGCATTTATTATACATCTCAAAACAGATGTCACTGAGTGGTGGACAACATTCATATCTGTCAGAAACACAAACTCTCTGAGCTTAGTTGGGCCTTGAGACAAGCAAGTAGGTTTCTTTTTTTTTGTTTCGTTTTTTATTTTTTGATTTCCTTCCTCGTCTTCTTTTTTATTTTAGTGCTATTTAGTGAAAACCTCAATCAGATTAGAAATAAAAATAAGACTGTAAAGTCTATATGTGACCAAGAAAAACTGGTGGTTTGGAAGTGACCCCATTGATTTTTTTTCCCCTGTGTGGGATCAATTGCAAGTAGTTGCTGTGAACAACTGGTCCTCAGAGGTTTACCAATCAGCACTGTCTTTGGGTGACCGCTTTTGGTCTGAAGGCATCTGGTGGGAGGCAAGCTTCCTTGGCCCAACTCAGCTGGATTGAGTGCCTTAACTCTCAAACAGATTGGCAAAGGTTTGAAATTAATTTCCATCTTATTTACAAATGCATAGAGATTGTGTTGATGTGCGCAAATTCTCTGCTTCACCAAACAATGATGCAAACACACAAACCTGAATCAATCAGGTTCAGCCGGCAATTTACTGCAAATTGCACCAAATTAAACACAGAAAAACGTGTCTTAATTTATGCCAACTACGTGCGTAGTAGTTGGCACTATAAGTTTTTATTTATTTGACATGAGAGAAGGAAATGTTATAAGAACTCTCCTCACGTCCAACTTCTAATAGAAGAGTTCACCCTTATTCCATAAATATATAAACATATTTTTAAGCCTCCCCTCGTGTATTTGAGCTGCCATGCTGTTTTCAGAGAGAAACATGTGCACTACCTTTTAAAAAAGCTAATACGCTTTGTATTAGTTTGTTACTTGCTTCCAGCCTTAAAAGTATGCTGCTCAAGGTTGAAAGTTGGTTGCTAATGAAATGAAGTAACTATGTTTTTGTTCATTTATACATTTATAAATTGTAAATTTTCCCTGTCTGGTTTGGGCTGCACTTCAATGCTGTTCAGTCAAAAATGACTCCAGACTGTCTTTTTGTTCCTTTATCCCTGTTTTTATTTTATTGCTTTCTCAATTAAGCAAAGCTGAAAGACAGCAACTAACTGCAAGGGATCTCACACCTGGTCTCTGCCTTTAACTTCAAAATTTCAAGGGTAGAGAGATTGGAGGCACTCATTGTCATGTTTAAAAACCAGTTTGAGATGATTTGAGTTTTGAGATATGCTTTGGAAGCAACCATCAGAAGATGGGTGCACTGTAGTCATAAAGGATGGACATGGTCAGCAGTGATACTCAAGTATGATACTCAGTTGGCACCGAGAGCCCTAAAGTGTGCCACCAACAGCAGCCTGAGCCTTGAAAGAAAGCAGGATGGATCCATGTTTTCATGTTATTTATATTAAATTCTGACCCTGCTATCTGAATGGTCCACCTGTTGGTCTCCTGTTGTCCAGTTTTGATAAGTCTGTGCAAATGGTAATATCAGTTTCCTATTCTTAGCTCCTATTCGTAGCTCTTTGTGTAGGCCTCTGATGCTGTAGCCGTCTGCTTCATGGTTCAACATGTTGGGGGTGCTATTCTGCATACCTCGTCTGTAATGACTGGTTACTTGAGATACTGCTGCCTTCCTATCAGCTCAAAGCAGTCTGACCATTCGCCTCTGCCCCTCACACAGAGAACTGCCAATGCCAATGTGAAACAGTGAGTTTGGATCAAGCCCAATATAACTTTTTCTGCTGTCTAAAGTAAAGTGGTAACCTCTTTCTCAAAGTGCTTGCGGGTATAGGCTGCATAAGGTATGTTTCACATCCTGCTCAAATACTCCAGAACCACTGGTGCTTGACAGCATGCCCAATGTTATGTAAGTTATTGATTGTTCCTACATTTCTTTTGCTAAATTTGAGAAATATATCTTGCTGAGTGTTACTGGAATACTATGACTTTTTCCAAATTTGGAAAACTGCATCCAGATATTGTTCCAATTCTATTATGTTTTAAAGCTAGCTCTTTCACCAGATCTGTTCAAAATACATTATCTCTTATTGTCTTAGGTAAAAACAAAGCCCCAGCAATTCCATGTTAGGATCACTGACACCATTGATGTGTGAGAAAAGTCAAATGACAATACCAACAAAATGAGCTAAGTGTGATTATAAATGTGTGGGGAGAAGTAATGTGTATAAGCTTGAAATGAACTGAATGGCTGTGTTGCTCATGCTAGGAGCGCCTATGCACGCATGTGTGCATCTGTATGTGTTAAGTGTATGTGCAGCACATCTTGTGGTCCTTATCATTACTGTCATGCTTTTCTTTTGACATGGGAAGGAAATGAAACAAGGAAAATATAATCAATGAACCGAGGACTGACTGGAATACAACGCATGCCCTTGCATTCACGCACACAAACGCACACGCGCACACCCCCTCCCTCACAAACATATCCACGCATAGTGCAATCACATCTCCCGAATGAAAGATGTATGTGTGTCACTTATAACCGTAATTTATGCAGAGCCTTAATTGAAAATTGTTATCAGAATCAATTTGGCAGCCTTTAATAGGATGAGGGCAAAGAGGCTGCAAGAGAGCCAGTTCCCTGGATGATGCATTTGTTAGAAAGCGAGAGACAGTGTATGAGTGTTTGTGTATCTGTACATGTTTGCGAGTTTGCAGCCGTGCTCTGCATATTGCTGCAAATTGATTTTATTTGTGCATGTATGTATCGTGGCAGGCTTTCATGCTGGGATTGTGTTTAATTCACATGCAGAAATAGCTCCATTGTGCCTTGATTGGAGCTGACAAACCATCATTAGGTTCTCCACATGGATCCACAATTTGAAATGCTAAGTGCTAGGCTGCACATGTTTAAAGCCTGTGAGGCTACTAGGAGTATATTTACTTAGGAGTGGAATCTATCTGGTTTCTTTAAACGGCTGTTGTATCTGAGTGTTGTGATTCCAGACCAACCAAGTGACTGTAAAGCAATTAATATGCAAATGAATGCCTCCACCTTTGATTATTGTTCTGTCTAATAATGTGTGAAGATTCAAGGTGTTACAGGTGTTAGATTAGCCGTGTGTGTAAGAGAAATATAAAAGAGACATTGCAGGTGTTCTCCAAACCTGTTTGTGTGTGTCTGTGTGTGTGCGTATGTGTGTGTGTGTTTATCTCCACTCACAGTAGGAGCATCCGTAAACTTCTATTCGCAGACCAATCCGTCCCTCCTCGCTCCATTCTAACGGGATGAGCCTAAGGAAGCGAGCCACGATTCCCTGCTGGAGCTCATGGCGAACCGCACTCTCTGAGTTGGAGTTCCCAGAGAAAGCCTATGAACATAATCATTCATATACACACAGACATAGAGAGAAACACAAACACACACACACAACACACACAAATTAAATACATCAAAGCCACAAGCCTGAAGACAAACAAGCAGCTTCAGGACTTCAGAACAAGAGTATTTGTTCCACTCACCACATCCTACCCTGAAGGTGCTCACTCACAAAACATACAAAATAATTATGAGTCTACATATCTAATATGCCCACCATAGGACAGTCTAACCGTAGGGAATGTTAGGAGTAAATTGCATATTGTATTAAGCTGCGTATGCATTAAGAAACTCCCTGCTCACATCAATTCATATCTAGACTGATTTATGTGTCCCAACAAGTAATAGAGGCTTGTAACTGATGAGGTTTACAGTTCTTTGCTATATTAGCCCTTTGTTCCACACAGCTGGTATACTGTCTAAAAACTCATCTTATTAAAAAAAAAAAGGCATCTTGAAAAGCAAATAATGCCTAATTAACACTTCTAGGATTGCAGTGATGCCTAATTAAAATGTCGTATTTATCTGCAATTTTAAGTGTATCTGCACAGCCCCAGTGTGGCTGCAGTTCCATGACTGAACATGTGCTGGTTGTTTTGTACACATCATGGCTTGACAGCATGAGCTGCTCTCCAATGTTTTGCTGTAAGCATAATTATTTGATGTCAAATTTCAATGACAGGCTACTGAAGTACATCTCCTGACAGTGCATTCCCCCTTTGCTGTTTTGACTTAAATGTGACTGACTGGAGTCTTTACCACCCACTAAAAAAAATAAATTGTATTTACATGGAAAAGAGAAATGAGACAAGGATGGCATTCACTTCACCAAATACTATAGAATCCCACCAAATACTATAGAATCCCACTGGATGAGTAAAAGAGGCACTCGTTAAAATGATCTCCTCTTCTCACTACATCATTCTTGTTTTCTTTCCTCCTACTTAGTTTCTCTTCCTTCACTTGACCTGATACATGACGGGGAGAACCTCTAACCGCCCACTAATCCACCTCACCACAGTCCCTGAACTATTTTCACTTCTGTGCATTCTCCTCTGCTCTCTGAAATAAACACACAACACAACCCCGTTCCCCCATGCATTACTTTCGACACACACATGCACAGAACAGTTTGCACACACCACTGGGAAGAAGCCTCATTAATAGCCTAGCAGGTAACTAGAAGAGAGCAAGACACTAGACAGCCATGTGTTATTTCAGATAAGACATGGAGTGGGCAGGGCAGTGCATGAGTGTATGGGAAAAAAATAACTTGCACAGACAGCCTGCTTTAAGCTGACTCTTCAGTGACCCAAGAGTGTACCCCTGAAGATATGCTATCTGCAAAAGGAGGAAATGGTCAAGAGTTCACACTTAGCTCAGAGCTACTGAACTTCCACTGTTGTGAAGGAGTGGACAGTGCTTCTTTTATCAATGAATTCCTCTCAGTTTCATATTTAATCTTTATTTATTCCATAAAGGTTTATGGAATAAATAAAGTATGCCTTTTGAAAGAGAAGGTTGCAGCGTAGTATTGTATGTATGTCACCAATAAATAAGTAAGTAAATAAATAAATAAAAACAGCAAGCACATTAATAGTTATGCTCCTGACCATGACATAGCTAGAGTTATGGCTTTTACACCTAAAGACATAAAATCTCACAAATCCACAAATTGTCGTGGTTCTGCAGGAAGTTTGGACACATCCATCAGTGGCTAGGCAACAGATCAAGCAGCCACTCTGATCATGTGAAAGACAATACTGTTTAACTTGTGCAACGACTGGTAACTGATGATTCAGCAATGCAAACCTTAAAGTTACATTAAATTTGCTTTTTAAAGCAAGTTGACTGGAAACAGCATTTTTTCTCTTCTTTTAAATCATAGCAATCAAGTGGAAGTTGCCAGGTGTAATTGCTGCTTATATCGGTACTTTTTAAAGTAGCTTCCACACTATAGAAAAAAAAGTACTGGAGTACCTACAGATTACATGGACAGTAGCTGCTAGGTCATGAAAACCCACGACACGAAGCTCCTGTCACATAGTTTTTGTGCTGATGTTAATACCAGAGGAGGTTTTTGAGTCAGCACAGCACTGGTAACTTTGAGCACTCGGGGAGCCTCTTATGACTTCAAACAATGTGCGCTGAGCTCAATTCATAGTTGCATACCGCATCATCAAAACACTGGAAGTCTGAAATGTCTCCATAACTGAGATATTCCTTTATTCACCTGGGCTAGCGTTACTCTTTGGAGCTGTTTGTGCAATTCTACAATAGCTTCTTCCCCTCTAACCCTTATCTTTTTCTTTTGCTATTAAATCTTCTCAAGCTTTCTTCTCCTGTGCTCTCTATTGCATGTTTGTCCTTCAGTATTCTGTTTCCAAACTGCCTGTAGTGTTGGCTTCTGATATGAAGCACAATGACAGTTATATCTACAATCTGCATAAATACACACAAGCATCCATGCACACATATAGATACAGACTGCCAATGCACCACCTTGCCATTTAAGCAATTATGAAATGTTAAAACCTGATGTCACTGTTAAGATCGCCTCATCGTTGGGTATAAAATAACGAAAGAGGAAAAAAAATCTTCTGACAATTTTTCTGGCTGCATGCAGATGACTTCAATTCATTTTTGTCCAGCTGTCACCTTACTCTCCTTGCCCTTGTCAAGGTATACCAGAGAAAGAAAAAGAAAAAAGAAAAAGAGAGAGAACAAAACCATTTTTTTCTTCACCCAAAAGCTCAATCCCCCCATCCTCTTTTTTTTTTTTCCCTCTATTTCCCTATTGTGTTCATCCCGCTTTCTACACTTATCTGTGCTTGGCTGAATGAACAGCTCAATTCAAAGGCATTACTATGCAGAGTGGGGGGCAGAAGGCAGGATAGGGAAGAGAAGAGGAGGATGAAGATGAGGAAAAAGCTGTGGATGCTGAACACCTTGCAAAAGTCTGCCTAGTGAACCATTTAATTCCCTCTACTCCAAAGTCAAATCATTAAGCGGCAAACCAATGAGTAATTGGAAATATATGTGTGTGACTGCATACAGCGTGCCTGTGTGACAGTTTATGTTGAGGTGTGTGCACGTGTGCGTGTTTTATAAGCAACTTTAGAGCTTAGACACTTTGACGTTTTGTTTAATCAAGAACTGAGGTAATTTACGGCAACAAAGGCCACAAAGTGCCTGAAGCAAATTTCAGAGTTTACTCACTAGCTGCTATGTGCATGCGTGCAGAGTTGCCCATACTTCTGCATGATTCTGCCTACTATGTATGTCAGTGATATGTACAGTTAATGTTAGATTAGTTGGTTTACTTGATACTTGAGAAAAATATTTACTGCTATTTTATGTAGTTCTGTGAGGATGTGCATCATATTTTGGAATGTTTAAAACAGTGTAAGTTAGTAAAGGACACACGCATGATTTCAGCAGTCCACGAGATCAGTGGGAGAAAAGCAATGAAAGAAATCTTGACTTGGAAAAGAAAATAATGAGGGAAGCTGAGAACCAGCCAGTCTCTGTGCTGACCATTTGGAGCACAGGGGCTGTCATTCAAGAAAGAACAAGCCAATCACTTTCCTACAGCTGGTCAAAAAAATACCCCTGTGGTCTGCTCTGTCTGACATACACAAACACACTTCGCTTGTATACGAGATAGACATCCACGTCGGCATGCTCGCTCTCATAAACAGACCCTGGCAAAATTCTCCACACGCCCATTATCTAACTGCTCAAAAGCTCTCCCTCATTGCTACTCCTCACCCGCTTACTTATTTTCCCTGGCTGCATGTTTTCATTTCCTGAATGAGCATCTGTCCTTTCTGTCTCTTCTGTCTCTTTTTTGTTTCACTGAAAATCAGTCTGTATATGTGCGAGCATATTTCTGTTTGTGCTGCGTGTCTGCGTTTTGACAGCCAGAGAGAGGCCCTTCCAGAGAACAGATCTCTAGATACTGAGAAACAACAAGTGAAAGCTATTTTCTGGCATTTGCTTGTTGCTGCTGGACTCTTTGTTAGACCAGCCCAGAGTCAGGGCTATTGTGTGTGTGTGTGTGTATCTATGTGTATGTTCCTTCCAAACAGGCAGGGGAAATCAGTCCGGCCTGGTCTGGTCTTTTGTTTTTATTGACAAGTGTACGAGACAAAACAGAAGGACCATAGAGAAATTTGTGTTTCTGTGAAGCCCTGTGGGTGGCTGTGTCTGTGCCAGGAAAATAGGACAAATTCTAGTAATGCTTAATTGAAGTCATGAATCTTTAAAATGTTTTAAAGTGGGCTGGGTGTTACATACTACAGCATGTGACTAACATCTTGAGAGTATACCGTGCTGCACACAAAGCCTCAATAGGAAATCTCTTCTTACTGTTTCGTGACACTTGCTGACAGAATTAAAATTCTGGGCTACACAGTCAATCAAGTATCCCACTAGGGGTGAGGACCACAACCAACTTCTGCTGCAGGCAGAAGCTAAATGGATTTTTGATCTGAGTTTGCAGCTCCAGATGGGCTCAATGAGCTGAATGAGGAACTTGATCTGCGCTATTTCCTGTAATGGTTTTGTATTTTTTGTATTGTTTTTTGTTGTTGTATTTCAATCATATTTTTGTTCATGTTTTGTTTTTTTAGTTCTTTCTCTTCAGTGGTGATTTATGCTTAGAAATGTAATAATATTTTTCTTAGTTGTACATCCTTGTATATGTTTGTGCTTCAGTTTTGTTTATATAGACTTTCTGCCATGTCTGTTTTTGGCAACACATTTCTTGCTTTACAAGTTTGAACAGTGAATTGAACTGCAAATCTGAAAGTTTGATTTAAACGAATGTATATCCTTCCATTGTTATGTGCACTTCTGTTGATTTCTGTACATCAAAGGCACGATAAGCTGCTTCAGAGACTCTTTATAGTCTTTTATTGGAACAGTTCAGAATGATCTCATTTTGTATCCGTATGTGCCAGATAGTTAGTTCAGTCGCCAATTAAATGGCTTTACCTGCTAAAATGGGCACCCAAAGAATTGGTGACAAAGGAAAATTGAATCTTTTCTTTGCTTTGCATACATTATTAAGGAAAAATGAAAAACACTTCTAGTACATTTCATACCAATACTTTTTTCCACACACTGCCTTTTGGGCTCATTAATTACTGTATAGTAATAGAAAGAGTGAAAAAAATATAAAGTACTTATGAAGGAAATTTTTAGCAAGAAACCTTCATCACGTCTTCCCTTAAATTTACACACATGCAGGAGAAAACACGTGTGTGTACATGTGTTTGGACCTGATGTAAGTGACATGCAATCGTTTTACAGTATCATGTCAGTATCAGTATCAAGAAAAAAGTGAAAACTTCTTCAGTGGCTATGAGGGCACCATCAATGCACTGTTGATATAAAATGGTTTCTACAGTCCTCATTAATCATACAATATTAAGAGAGTTCATACAGTAGGAAAGAGGAATTTTACCTCAGTGCTATTTTTTATACACTGTCCACACAGGTACCATTTTGAAACTGTTGACAGACCAATTAAAATTTCATTACAGCCACTTAAGTTGTAAAGAAACTTTAATGACTCACTGGGATCTACCCTTTCTCCATAGTTCCATGCTTTTCAGACCTTCCATATGTAATAATACCAGTGTCACTGATATGCTACACAGTCACAAATATACGTTGTTTTATACCAGCATGGACAAAAGCACTGGGCCATCTACACATTAAATCTAAAGGAGATGCTAAGCCAAGGAAGCCCATGTCTTGAAGCTCTTGGCACACAGCTTTTGTGCTGATGTTAATGTCTCAGAAGGTTTGCAAGTCTGAGTCAACAGAGCGCTGGCAAGTTTAACGTACTACTATGTGTCTCAACACTCGACTAGGTGACTGGGCTCTGCAACTCTACCACTTTGCAGCTGGAGTGGTGTGCTTCCTTCTACTTTGAAACAATACCTCTTAAAACGTTTTATTTGGAGGGAAGATATTTCATTAGCAGACAAAAAAGATGCAATAGTGGTATCCTGTTATTCTAGGATCCAGTGAGCTCTTTAGAACAACCATTCTTTCACAAATGTTTATAAAGGCAGACTGCATGGCTAGGTGCTTGATTGTATACACTTGTGGCGATGGGACTTGAAACGCCTGAGTTTAAAAATAAAGAACCCATTACTTTTGTTCATATTATTCATGTTGATGATCTTCATGGTTACAAACTAGGTCTCCTACGGCAGTGTCAGAGTAAGCCGAATCACTTCTGCAATGACTTCCATGTGTGTAAAAGATCAGCACTTTTTAGAATTGACATAACATGATCACACATTCTCTATGTATGTGGAGAGAACTATCATTGACAAATGTCTGAAAATAAAATTTGATGTGCACAGTGCAAGGTATTGGTGTTTAGGACAATCTTTAGAGTGCTTTAGTGAGACACAAGTATATGGCTGTCCAATAAACTGCATTCTGGTCAGACTTAAGGAAGAGATACCAGGGTGCTCATACAGATATAAAGCTGACACGTTGAGATGTCATCAGATTAATGAAGAGTAGTGCATGTCTGAAAAAGGCTTATTTGAATTCATCATCTTCGTTATTCTCGCTCAGCAAATTTTAATTTCCACACTCAACTCTTTATTTAGAATGAATTGACATTAAATAGGCTGACACTCAAGTTCTGTGAAGTTGCTGCAGCCAATCAAGATAAAGACTTAAAAGTTAAAAGACAGACTTTATATCAGGGCTGATTAAAAGAAAAAAAAAAAGATGAACTCATAAAAAGTAATCTCCATGACTTCAAGCAGCAGTGTTCCTCTGATTAGTTCAATTCAAACATTTTGGACTTTAATGCTGAACGTGATAACTCATTTAGTGGTCGACAGCAGCTGTTCATCAACAGTCAGTGTGAGTGAATGAGAAACTGCTTATGTATGGGGATAAACACTGGTCAACAAACAAGTTTGTCTTCTTTATGTTGAGATGCAGTTTTGACCAGTGTCAGGAATTTGAGTCAGTAAGAGTAAGGCATAAAGAATCAACACAAATCATGAATGCACGCATCACTCTGAATGCTAAACCTTTTAATAATCTTACATTAATATCAAATAAGTGTGCCTTATTTCGTATGATGTAAATTAACCTCCTGGAGTCTTTCCCCGATTCATTTCAACAGCAGACAGCAGTTGCTGTTTGGATGGTAGCAATGGATCATCTCCATCTGTGACTTGACTCATTAGTAACTTGGGAAGTGCTGGCTTGAATTCAATGAAACATGGGAGAACGCATTCATCTTTGTATTACGTTACGTTATTAGTGGTGTTAGCACCAAATTAATAATCAGTAAGAAAACTGGTACTTAAGAACATTTTGACACAACTTTCTGCTAGGACGCAGCTATCATCATGACTACAAGGACAGAGTGTAATTATCCTTAATGGCTCAGTTTGATGGTGCAATGGTTTTGCACTGATGTACAGTATGTACGTCTTTGCAGGCCTGTCTACTGCCACTGGGGGGCAGTGTGTAAAAAAACCCCCCAAAAAACATATGTACAAATGGTTGTGTTATCGACTGTCTCTCCCTGGAGATGAAAGTAGTTATAATGTACCAAAGAGTCTTTATAATGGATCGAAGTAAAGTGCTAAGGAGAGAGTAAAAAGAAGTTAAAAATTCTGAATGACAATATACCAACTAGGCTGTTAATCATGACATCTCTTAGCAGTTGTCGATCACTGAAAGCACCAACAACGCGCATTAAAATTGGACCATGAGCAATGGAAGAAGGTGGCCATCCATCTGTGGGATGTGTTAAACGAATAAGTCCCATTTTTGGAGGTGCAAAATCAGGGCTTACAAGACTTGAATAATCTGTTGCTAAAATATTGGTGGCAGATACCATAACACACCTTCAAGGGTCTAGTGAAGACCTAAATGCCTCAATGGGTCAGGGCTGTTTTTGGAGGAGAAGGGGGACCAGCACAATATTAGCCAGATGGTCATAATATCATGCCCAATTATGTACTTGGGCTTGTGCAGGAATTCAATGCAGTCAGACCCCTATTAGGTCACAGAAAAAGATGGTGTTCACCTTCATAAAACTGGTTGTATGCGGGTTTGAGTAGAATAAAGGCTCCTTGAAACCATTTCTAGTTGACATGAAGGATATTGTCATTATTCATATGACTGCTGTGCTTTGAGGTGATTGTTGTGATTTGGTGCTAAATAAATAAAACATAATTGAACTGAATTGAATTATTAAGACATTCAAGGCTTTTTGTAACTAGTTCAAGTGAGACTCCATGGTGTAGGAAGATTAGCTTAAGTGCAACATGGATTGTATTGGAAATTGTTTAAGAAAAAAGCATACTTCTAATATTGCATAATGTTTACATACTACTGTATAGCATATACACATAACAAAACGGAAAGTAAGAAAATTTAATGTTATTTTCGAGAAATATATTCTTTTAAAAAGTCTTTGTGTTTGCTGAGAAGGAAAGACTTATTTTGCCTGTGTGTTTTACACACACAAGGACAGAATAAGATCAAAGATGATTATGTGCCCTCATTTTGATTACTTTGTTATGGAGTGCAATGTATTTCTGCACTTTAAAAATGGCATTCTTCTTTTCTTTGTTCAGCCTTTCTTTGATCAAAAGGGAGATTGAACCAACTACCCCGCTGAGGCGTGCCCTTTCTATGGGTTGGAGAGTTTTACGTTACTCATCTCTACATTTTGATCTAAGTTTAGGAGGTCCTTTTGCCAACTTTATTCTTGAGAGGACGTTGATGATCATGTTGACATTATGTTGACTCTATGACCATTTTTATCCTGTTCTTCCATATGGACTTCAGGAGGGGAAATCCTCATCCAGCATGGCTTCAGCTCTCTATTCTGCTCGATTATGCTTCTGATAAGCGGTAGCATTATGACCTCCAATTTCAAAGGTCACAATAATTATAATAATAATTTGTATCAAAAAGGTTTAGAAATTGTTGTCCTTGTAGAGTGCACTGAAAACATCTGTTTGGTGTGTAACATCAAGCCATCGAGTTCTGCCAGCAATGTCAAAGCTATGTCAAGTGCAAAGAATTAGGATCATATTTTGGTTCCCATAACAACTCTCTTTCCTCTAGTCCTCCAATTAAAAAAAACATGCTTTTACTCAAAAGTTTCATAAGGAAATATTTCAACATTTCAGGCTTTGTTCACGCCAAATTCATCATGAGTAAAGTTTTAAAAATATTGTGACATGACAGTTTTAATAATCAAAACAAACCTAAATCTCAGTAAATACAAAGTGAAAGTATGATGGCACCCCTGCTGAGATGTGAAACACATCTCCTGATTACTCAGTAACAAGCTGACATTTAACAGGCTGCAAGTTTGTCAGTGCTAAATATAACTTTAGGAGGGAGATAGGAGCCAGTTAGATAATGCTCTTTTCATATTTTCTTACATTAGATTAAATAAGATACCCTTATTTAATTTTAGTGTCACTGTTCAAAAGGGGCATAAACAAATTAATAAACAAGCTTTGATGGTTTTCTGCCAAAAACTTAACTTTACTTAAAATGTAAATATGATGTTAGCTTGTGCAGTATACAAAATAATATCTGCATATATTTTATATTATATTTATATTTATATTGTATTGCTTTGCAAGAGTGCTTTAGATGAACCTACTGTATGCTCGTAGGTATCCCTCCTCTTTGACATTACCTGATATATGGAAGATACTCTAAGCACTGTTTTTCATTACATATTTGTCTATTTGGCAATATCCTTTCTCTGTTTTTCTTTTTTCCTTGTTTTCAGCACTGACCTGCTTTACTGGTGTTTTTCTAGTTTCTTGCTTTATTCATTTTCCTCCTAATGTAAGCTCCTGTCTGCCAAAAGCCTAAAATGTAAATGCATGAGGCACTTGATGTCTGCATCTAATAAAATGCAAAAACATGGACGGCGATTGAAGCCTGGCAGCACGGAAGATCACCCAAGTTCAAAAAGTCAGCACTTCATTTCATTCGCGTTGCTTTTCTATCTCAGATGTGAGTGTGAAATTTCACACATAAATAAGTCAAACTGCAATGCCTCAAACGTGAAAATCAGAGCTGGGAATTAGAACCATTTCATTTAAGATGTACAACTTTTACTACAGATTTAGTGACTTGTTTATTAGATTATTTTTTATTTCCCCACCTTAAACCAGATCAACCTTAACCTTGATCTTTACTGTGAGGTTTTAGGGGCACTGACTCACTCTGACTCATTCTGTTTGTTCACACATTACGTTAAGCTCATGGAGCCCTTAATAATTTAGGTAGCAAACCATTTTAATTGGAGCTCATTTGAATGTTAATATATAACTTCTGGTGAAAATTTCAAACATATTTTTTACTTACACAAATTGACTTAAAAGATTCCCTGTTGATGGCGACTGCTTATTGTATTGCCATCTTCTATTTGTTTTCTCAAATCTAAATTTAACTCATTAACTTGCCTATTGGTCGTGAAGACTGAGGTGGCTCCAAGGCACTTGGCAACACCCAGTGAAATAAATACTAGGCTGACATGCAAAGAAAGGTAAGCAGGGAGAGAGAGAGAGAGAAAAAGAAAGAAAAAAAGAGCGAGCGAGCGAGAGAATGTGTTCCACTGGTGCATAAATCCAGGTGCATGATTTATCAGTGCATGCTCTGCAGCTTTTGAAACTGAATTAGTCCCCACCACTGAGACACAGAGGCATCACCATTCATTTACCTGACGAGCCACAGTCTAGCAACTCCTCCCTCCTGAGAACACACACATTCGATCACAATTGGACAAAGGTAAGCGCATGAGCTCCACTCGAGCTCGAACACTAACACTTTCACATAAGCTCGCACGTGCTTGTTTCAACATCATTAGGTTCAGTTTTATATACAGCCCTTAGCACAGAGAGAGGAATAAAATGAGCCTCAGCTGTTCTGGCAAGAGCGAAGCATTACATTCGCAGTGTATTACAGAATCACATTTCCTGACACCTTTTTAGCAAGGCTTCAGCACAATTTCATCTGTAAATACCTGAGCAATGTGGCTGTGAATGGCACAGGCTGAGACACATGGTCGCAACATAATCAAGTTGTGTCGCCATTATTTACTTTAACCAAATCTATTTCATTGCTCTACATCCACGGAAGGCTATAGCAGTTGTTTTAGTTCAGCTAAAAGAAAGAAGTGTAAATCGTTGCTTTAGTTTATTTATGTTGACACTGACTAAGTTACACTGGAAATGTTATCCTGTACCTGGCGGGAAATTTTACGTAGTACCATCATTGAGGAATCTGATTTAAATGACCAGTATTAAGTGGACAAATCGAAAGTTTATTCTATCAGCTTATGGGTGAGAGAAGCCAGAGGATGCTTTTTTTTAAGTGCAGCGCTTGTTAATGTCAAAACTACTGAATGCAAGGATTCTAAAAAAATACCTGTACAGTGTTTCTCTCTGTGTTTGTTACACACAAGAAGATCTGTAGCCACTCTTAGGAAAAAATGTTTGTACTGCAATTTACCAGCCTTATTCCTCATGTCTCAATGACTAGTTGACAAGATGCAAGATAATGTGCTTCCATGCACAAAGGCCCAGAATGTCTTTTGGGTTTTATTGCATTGCTTTCAAATATTCTTATCAATTTACAGTAAAAACATCTATTTCACAGCATGTACTTCGTTATTTTGTTCAGGCTAAACTGTGACGGCAATGTCTCTATAAATGTTAGTAGTAGGCATGATTGTTTTAGCTACTTTCATCATCAATATTTACAGGTGTCTCCTTCTGGCTTACCTCAATTTTAACAGCCAGTGTCTGTTCTAATGTATTAAAGTGCATCCTATGCTTCCAGTAATCTAACTTTACTTTCACATCAGGTTGAGGGGCTTTTTTCTGAACACTTCACAATAATACATTACAGAAAATAAACTGGTAATAAGAAGGATGTTTTGGGATGCTGAAACTTATGCCGTGTTTTAGAGCTGTTCAAAGACTAGACTATTTTTCACCAGTCCAGTGAGAAACTATTATTAACTTGTTCCCTTTTGATGCTGTATCAGCTTAAGATGAGGCTGCGGCTGTGCTAGTTTATTGGATACATACATTACTGTCAACTGACCTAGTGTACTTTCAGCTTCAAGCATCTCATCCACATGAATAAACAATCTGGCAATGTAGGAGAGGGGCTCCTGGTACTATCTGATAGAGACTAATGGCAAACGACATTATGGAGGAGAATTCTGACTTTAGAAATGTGTTAATTTATTTTTAATGTCTTGTCGTAATTCGGTACGCATTGCATTTTGATTTCTTGATTTCTTTCTTTTGGGGTTACATGAAGATAGTGTGATGCTGTAACTATGGAATAATAAAATCCATCTCCTACTCCTACGTAGCCAAGATATATCCACAACAGTACATCTTGTAACTGCTTCTAATTTCACAATTAGTTTTCAAATTTGTCTTTTCTTCTTTTTTATGGAGAAATATAAACAAGGACCCCCACTTTGCCTTTGCGTTTCTAGAGAAAGCCAAAAGAGGAACTGTGCTACTGTATGAGGAAGTCATACAATAAGAAGAATGTTGAGTTTGCTGCAGGACATGTATGAGGATAGCGTGACAGTGGTAAGGAGTGCAGTTGGAGTGACAGATGAGTCTAAGGTGGGGGTGGGATTACATCAGGGATCGGCTCTGGGCCCTTTCTTGTTTGTGATGGTGATGGGCAGGTTAACAGATGAGGTCAGGCAGGACACTCCATGGACTATGATGTTCACAGACGACATTGTGATCTGTAGTGTGAATAAGGAGCAGGTGGAAGAGAGCCCGGAGAGGTGGAGGTATCCCCTGGAGAGAAGATGAATGAAAGTCAGCATAGGTAAGACAGAATACATGTGTGTGAATGAGAAGGAAGCAGGTGTAACAAGTCTAAATACTGGGGTCAACCATCCAAAGCAACAGACAGTGCACAAGAAACATAAAGAAGAGAGGTGCCGGCAGGGTGGAGCAGGTGGAGACAATTTGTGACAAAAGGATAGTAGCAAGAGTGAAAGGGAAGGTTTACAAGATTGTAGTGAGACCTGCTATGATGTAAGGTCTGGAGTTACTGGCACTGACAGAATGACACGAAGTGAAGATGAAGGTCACAGAGATGGATCTCTAAAGATTTCCACTGGGAGTGACCTGCATGGACAAGATTAGACATGAGTATATCAGTGGGACAGCTCACATTGAGCACTTTGGAGGCAAAGTTAAAGAGGAAAGGCTGAGATGTTTGGACATGTGCAGAGGAGAGACAGTGGATATACTGGACAAATGAATAAAGATAAAGCTTCTAGGCAAGAGGAAAAGAGGAACACTATAAAGAAGGTTCATCAGTGTAGTGAAGGAGAACATGAAGAGGTGTTGGTGTGGCTAGGGATAGGGTTAGATGGAGGCAGATGATGAAAAAAAGGCAGAAAAAGACGTTTTTCTTTTGTTTTTCGTTGTTTAAAAATTGCTGTTATTCCTGGAGTTTAGATTCGTAAACCAAAAGAAACGGCAAAAATAGAGATATTAAGCGAAAGGCAGTTTTGTATTAATAGTAGTAGTAATGGTTAATTATAAGCAGTTATAACCATAAGCAGCAATTTAAGTAGACAAAAAGCTTTTAATGAGTGATTAAAAAGAGTACACCATTACTAGATAATACACCCATAAAGCACTGTATGCATCACTGTATGTGTGTATGTGTGTATTATCGTGTAAAAGTTCTGAAAAATTGAAATATAAATATTTCAAATATATGAAATGTAAATATAAATAATATAAAATACTAATATAAATTATTGTAAATCCATTTACAATTAAACAAATTGAGCACTTAGCTCAATACTCATGTGCTAGACCACTCACATCTTTCCTTTTGAGCCAACCTATAAAAATATAAAGCTGTATCTATCACAGGTGCTGCACTTTTGCATCGGTAAAACATGTTCACAGGCAGACAATTTCTACAGGTCTCTCAAACACCAGCACAAGCACACACGTGCATACCTAAAAATATACTATGCTGCTTATGGTAATATTGTGCCAACTAAAGTCCAACAAAATAGTTTTGCCCTGTTGGGACAGTTTTTTTTATTTGAGTAATTCAGTAACTCATAAGCTCTTAGGCATTGTCTTCTACTTAGGCATTTGGTGCTTTAATTATTACAATCAGTCATCTGTGTCATTTGATTCCTTGGAAGTGCATTAGTGTGTTATTAAAAACACTGTTTTTCACACATCCAATACAGCTTTTTCCAGGCCTTTAGCAGTCATCCTTCTCAGTGAATTGCACACTCACGGCAGTTATATTGGAAGTGGCACACTTGCTTTAACTAAAAAGTTGTTCTCTTAGTTTGGCAGTGAAAGAGTTAAGTCATCAGCGTGGAGTAATAGCAGGTGGTGATTGGTGGCAAAAGGTTCTTGAATAGAACCTTCATACATAAAAGTGCAGGACAGGCGGTTTGCTCTCTGGGGATCACTGTGTGAGCCTCATCCAGTGGTGTATGGGATTGAGCCGAATGTGATTGAATGGGCTGAAACAGGGCTTGATGGTAGTTCTCTGTGTGTGTGTGTGTGTGCGTGTGTGTGAGAGAGTTGGCTTAAGCGACCTGCCACCCCCCACCTATCTCTTTGATCAATAGCACTGATTGCTCCGATATCATCACCACTTACACACAAACAGCCACATACTTCACAAAACAGGTCTAAACTTTTGCCCAGGCTTAATTATCAGCAGGGGTTAGTAGGAGTGCAAGTATGTCTGCATGTATGTGTGCATTCATTTGTGTAGATTCTGCAGCTCCTCGACATCTAAATAAGCCAAGAGGCAGAGAATCCATGTGCTCAGTTTTTCCTTGTAACTGCATGGGTTATTGATGGTATATGCCCAGTTCAAAATTATTGGCTCTGCATTTGTTTACATAAGCAATATTTTGAATTCCACTGGCAATAAATTAAAAAGCAATATTCATGTCATAAATTTTTGGCAAAACAGAGGGGGGAAAAAAGTTGGCTATAGTTACAAAAACGCCAAAGAGATGAATGTGTTTTGGAGTATTTGCAGAAATATTAGAGGCAATGAATCAGGGTTAATAGCAGGAGAAAAATACTTCAGAATAAATAATAACTGGCAAACAATTACGATGCCGCAGACAAAAACAACAGCTTAATTTACTTTCAACTGTAAACGATTCGTATATGTCACGGCAACCAGTAAAAGCCATGATAGGCAAAAAAAAGGATTACATTATCTACAGAGCTTAGTACCCGCAGCTGAAAAAAGGATAAGACATACTTTGTAATTTTATTAGTCTTACAGTAGCAAATCACAATAAACAACTTAGCTTAATAAATTGAGTACAATATCACAGTACAAAACAGCTCAAAAAGTTCTTCTGAATTCTATGTATGAATTCTTGTTCTAGCAATCGACTGCCTGTGTCCAAACTCTGATTCCCAGCCACCTGTACTCGAGTTGGTTGTGCCAAGGCCTGCGAAGCTGGACACACCAGCCTGCTGTGTTAGGCCAGTTAAATAATTTCATTTTAGTAGAAGTTGCAGGATTCAAGTGAGTTAAAGCTAGAGTAGGAGCATTTACACAGCATTCACTCACCCATCCAAATCGTGGACTCAAGGTGTTCTAATCACTTCCAGGGTCACATGTGTGTAAAATCGAACATGTAGGCATGCAGGCATCTTCTACAAACATTTGTGAAAGAACAGGTCACTCTCAGGAGCTCAGTGGATTCCACCATTGTACCCTGATAAGATGCCAGCGTGCAGCAAGTCCAGTCATGAAACTTACTTGTTACTAAATATTCCACTGTCAACTGTTGGTGGTAATATAACAAAGTAGAAGCGATTGGGAATGGTAAATGGCCTGTATTTGTATAGCACTTTAATTAGTCCCTATGGACCCCAAAGCGCTTTACACTACATTCCGTCATCCACCCATTCACACACTGGTGATGGCAAGCTACATTGTAGCCACAGCTGCCCTGGGGCGCACTGACAAAGGGGGGGCTGCCGGACACTGGCGCCACCGGGCCCTCTGACCACCACCAATAGGCAACGGGTGAAGTGTCTTGCCCAAGGACACAACCACAGAGACTGTCGGAGCCGGGGCTCGAACCGGCAACCTTCCGAATACAAGAGGAACTGCCAACTCTTGAGCCACAATCAGCCAATGATGGCAACTAAGGGGGTACGCTACGTAAAATCTCACTGCAGGGTCAGTGGATGGTGAGGGTTTCCATGGATGAGTACCTGCTTCCAAGCCTTACATTAACAAACTCAATGTAAAGCATTGGATGCAGAATTGTGAAGCACCAGACCACGGTTCTCCAGAGCAGTGAAGACGTGCTCTCTAAAGTGATGAATCGCGCTTCTCTGTGTGCCAATCCGATGGACGAGTCTGGGTTTGCTGGTTCAAAGACATTCCAAACTTTGTGGGAACAGTTTTGGATGGCACTGTCCTGTTCAAACATGACAAACATTACCAGTGCTTAAAGCAAGGTCCATAAATAAATGAGAGTTTGGTGTGGAAGAACTTGACTGGCCTGCACAGAGTCCTCACCACAACCCGAACATCTTCAGGATGAATTAGAACAGAGCCTTCGAGCCAGGCCTTCTCATCCAACATCAGTGCCTGACTTCACAAATGCACATCTGTATCATCAAAAATTCCCATACATGATCTGAAACCCTGTAGAAACCTGTCTTCTCAGAAGAGTTGTAGTTGTTATAGTTGCTGTTAACGGTTAACGGTCATATTAAACCCTTCAGATTAAGAATGAGAAGTCATTTAAGTTTTTATGTGAAGGCAGATGAGCAAATACTTACAGCAATAGAGTGTACTTATTTGGCCTTTGATTAATCATTATTAATTATGTTTACCACAACTATATTGCCTTTTTCTTATTTTCTTCCTTCCTTTTTTCACTCCCAGAAGGAGAACTCCTCTTTATTGTTTCATTGAGTATTTAATTCTGTTCTGTCCTCATTCATTGTCTCTCATTGTTTAGAGTCATTCATGCCATTTCCAAACTAATGAGTGAAGTCAGGTGGAGTACTTTAGAGAGGTCATGCCTCGCATACTGTTAATGCAAACGTTGCACATCGCCACTACAGTAGTGTAACGTTTGTCAGGGTGCAGGGGCTCCCCCACTGGCCTGGTTACCTGCCTTGTCTGTTGGCAAACCACACCTCTACATGGGCGCAGACTCACAGAGTGAAAACTAGGGGTTTTTAGCACAACCAAGATTAACTAAGAAAATTCATTGGATCTCCTTTTAGCCACCTTTTGTTTGATTGAAAAGGTTGTTTGTTATGTTGTCCCATCATCAGAGATAGAAGAAAGATTGGAAGCCCAGGCTTTATTTCGGGAGGAAGGGTGCACACTCAGTGAAAAAGTACTCGGTTCTGAATTAGGTCTGTCAGGAAGAATCTGTGTGAGTCATGGCTTATACAGTAGATGGTTGACTTCATGATGAGACTCTACAGTGTTTCAGTGTGTGCAAAGAATTGGTACCAAACTCAACAAGATAAGTTGGTGAGAGTGCATTTACTGAACTCTAGATACCTGTAAGACCAGAAGTAGGGAAGAAAATGTACATCTTCATGTACAGCAATAAAACTTTTGAATATCTAATAATTAAATAGGAGAAAATGAGGAAATGACATCGGTAATGAATGTATCTATATATGAACAAAAATTTCTTTTGCATACATGACTGTATTTACATATGTAATTAAAAAATATTTTAAATAAAATAAATGAAATAAAATTGCCTGAAAACTAACACTCTTAATGGAAATTGTTATCATCTAAACCAGTTATGGCTTTAAATAGTCACAGATGAATAGTTCTTACTCCCACCTGATGCTGGGTCAGGCCCTGCGTTACAGCACTGCAATGCACTGAGTACATTTTTAGTGCATTCGTGTGTGTGCGTGCGTGTGTGTGTGTGTGTGTGTGTGTGTGTGTGTAATGAAATCAAGTAGATTTTAATTAAAATGCCCTCACTATCTTATATAGATGTCAGGACAGTATTGCTGTCACTGGCATATTTTATTGTGTCTTTATGTCATATAATCATTCCAAAACTGAAGAAAGCATCTTTCGTCTAAAAATAATGAACACTTGTATGTCTGCGGTTTGAGTTTACATGTTCAGCCATTCAAAAGGATTCTGATAGAGAAGACAGAATTGTAACCGTGCAAGTTAACAGTGGTTCAAACATGAATGCCGCAGCACACTGCACACATTTTAAACATAGTAGTTGAATTTGATATTTAATGTCCGGTTCTGCGACAGAGTTGCGGTGTTTAAATTGGTGATAAAAAATGTGTTTTCAGAACAGAAATCTCACTATGAAATTTTGTCATCTGTGTATTACAGTTTTTCTGAATTGATTTGGCATTATTCTCACAGCAGAAAAGTCATTCTCACCACTCTTAATACAGTTCGCAAAACATTTAAGCCATTTTTCATAACACGTTTACTTCAACTCTGTGATGAATGAATAAGAACCTTTCACCACACTTTAAAAGCATCATAATCTTACTGACTTTGGAAGGAGTTTTGCAAAATTAAAATGTGAAATATTTTGTTTGAAACTTCACAAAATTCCCAAAATGCAGAAAAGCACAATTATATTTGTGAAACTTTACTGTATGCATCAGGAAACAGACACAGGAAGTATATACAATCTGAGAACATAGGACCGACTGCTGTATACTTCAGCAAAGTCACGCTACATGCATTCAGCAACTACTTTATTAGTAAGGCTGTTCTACTGCCAGACAACTTTGAGCTGATAGGAAGGTAACAGCAATGCAAACTCATTTAATCACTCCCTTTAATATCCTTTAATCTCAAATAAAAAATAAAAAATCCTTCAAAGCATTCCTGATGGTTTTGTGTATTTTGTTAAAAAAAAACCCCCATCTGCAGTGTTTTCAAAAGCAAAAACAAAAGATCTGATCATTTCAAATGCCTCAAACATTATTTAAAGTTAACATGTAAAAGCTGCTGTGATAAAGCTTATTATTTAAGGCACTACATCGCACAGTAGCAGTAATTTACATGACAAGCTTTTACAGATTCACTGGGGAAAAGACAAAACAAGCAAAGCAAATACATATCCTTTCCAACTCTACTATTAAGATTAACATAAAAAAGTCTCCTCCCCTGCATTTCAAGGTTTTAGATTTCTGCTGTCTAGTTTGGTGTATCAGCATTATTCACGACAGGCCTGTCCTTTTGTCTCCCATCTGTTATCACCTGTAGCCTTTTGCAAAGCAGCAACAGTGAACAGTGAAGGCCATTAACTTATTAGCTGATCACAAACTGTCAGGTGCCCCACTCAAGTCCTTGCTAACAATTTATTGATGGAAATGTGTTGTTTTGGCACAAGAGACACAGAAAATAAAGCCAAAGAAAAATAAACCACATCCATACTGTTAGGGAAACATTGAATGCAAACGGCTCATTTTGGAAAGATGTTCTTATGTCATATCTTTCCTCTAAGACCCAGTAAATCTTCAATTAGATGAGCCACAGTCATATTACATTTGGTTTAAACTGAGGGAATAAAATTTCCTTGTGCTTTGAAGTGATACTTAAGATTTTTCATCCTAAACAAGGTTTTCTGCTTTTTCTATGCACGTAGGTAAAGAAGAGGATTTTGCACTTAAGTAAGGAACATTGAAGCTTGCTGTATGTATAATTTTATTTTTTAATTATGGAGTGTTTATTGAACCTTCTGACAAATTAAAATAAATACAAATAAATGTAAATAAATGTGTATATATGAGTTTTAATCTGGCATTTTTGAGCATTTTATTGCTCACAGTAGCACTGCATGTATCTGACTGTATATATGACGCTAGTCACACTGACGATACAGAGGTCTTTAAAACAACAATATCAAATATGATACACTTGGCATTACAAGGTTAACAAGACATTTAGTGAAAGCTAAGTTAGGAACAGAGCTTGACAGCTGATTTAAATTAAAAAAAACATTTTAAAGAGAAAGCTTGTAAAAGCATCAGTGTAAATTTTTGTAAGTTTATTTTAGGTAAACCAAATTTATCCAATTTAGAATAGAAGAGAATGTCAAAATCAGCATTTCTTCTGATAGTTTAGTAACCACGTTGACATATGTACATGTCAAATTGCATTACAGCTAACTCCAGCCTCAAAAATCTACCTAAACATTTGCCAGCATTGTTCTGTGAATGCTCTTAAATGTATTTGCAGGGCTTTCCTTTAAATTGAATATAATTAATATAATATAATTGAATTAATATAAAATTATTTCTTAAGGAATCTTAAGAAGGAGTGTGAATTTTGGTGTAAATGACCAAAAAATTCAGTTCCATTATTTATCAGCAGTAAGTTTAGTTTCAGATAATCAATTGTTTCAGAGATTTTAGTAGTAAGCCCTATTCAAGTGCACAGCTAAATGTTATCTGTATAAGGATGAAAACAACATAATTAAAAACAATACTAGCAAAAAAGACAATAAAATAGTCTCTAAGACAGAGTCCTGGGGTACTCCACAATAAAAAAAAATATTTATAAACAAAACTGCCCTTTTTTTAGTTTCTAGTTTGATGGTGTTACTGAAATTCCAACCCAATTTGGCAATATACCATCAAGACTTGAGAATAGACTTAGCAATATTTGGATTAATGAAATGCCATCATTTGTTTCAAGAGCAAGTCATTTACTCTACTTTAAATAGCTGTCCCAGTGTGCGATGGTGTAGAAAAGAACTGAATTAAACTGCTAGAACTCTCACATATTTGAAATTAAGGTAAATTAAGGTGATTGGGAAGTAATCCAAAACAGATGGGATGCTTTAGAAGCAAGTGTGGGCCACAGGATGTGAACATTTTAATAGTCTTATAGTTTGCACCTGTGCATTTGACA